TACGAAATTGTGGTAACTGCAAAGGTGCTCCATGATCCCTGCAAAAATATCTCAGAAGAAGGACAAGTATCGACAGACTGAAAAAAGATGTCTTTTAAGATACCGGAGAAGGTAGATTGGTAAGTGCGAGAATTCCTGAGGGATCGAACAACTACCAGTACCAGAGACATTTTCAACAGGCTGATATTAAACTAAATGATCGATCATGTACTGACTGAATTACCACTTTGCCGATTATTACCGAACTATTATTTATTCGGAACACATAATTGTGGATCACCTTCTTTGAATTTGAAAAGACGTTCGACACAGTTCATTTGAAAAACTTGTGAAATCTTCTACAAGCCTATGGAGTACATTAAGAGGTCGTCACCGTCACACGGAACTCCCACGAAGGACTAAACTTCAAATTCGTCCATAGAGGCAGCTCTCAGATAATCTCCAAGTAAAGACTGACGTCAAACAAGGATGCCTACCCGCAACTCTCCTCCTCTGCTAGATATTGACTGGATTATGAAGACATCTACATCTTAGAAGTATAAAATACAGTCGAAACTTTGGTCACAACTAGAAGATTCAAACTTTACAGATGATTTGGGCCTTCCATCCCATACTAATAATTGAATGCAATGAAGATAGATAGTGAAGCAAAAAACACGCAACGGTAGGCTTCAGGATTCACAAAGGATGAGACAGGATCCTGAAACATATTCCGATGAGCACCAAACAATTTAAACTTGGTGGGGAAGCTCCAGAAGCGCTTGAGACCTCTACTTCTTTTAGAGGCATCATTGATAAACATGAACGATCTAATGCCGGTAACAAGGCATACATTGGGAAAGTAAGGACAACATTCCCACAGTTACACAACAGCTGGAAATCAAAACAACTGTCAGACAACACCAAAGTCAGGGTTTTTAGACACAAATGCCCAAACAATCCTATTTTACGGAGGTGTAATATAGAAAACTACCACAACCATCAACAAGAAAGCACAGGTATTTGTAAACAACTGTTTACGCAAGACACTTAAGATCTGTTGTTTAGATACAATCATCAATAAACTATTGTGGGAGAGTACAAGTCAGCTGCCACTTGAGGAGGAAATTAGGAAAAGTTGTTTCACGTGAATTGTACACACTTAACAGAAACCACCAAATTGCATCACGAAGCGATCCCTGACCTGAAATTCTGAGGGTGAAAAAAGAGGCAGGTTCAAGAACACATCGGACCTGGAATCGGCGGGAGACTGTAAAGGAATGAATACCACCTAATGATAACTAGAAAGGAAAGGTTAGGACGAAGTTGGTTGAAGAGCCTGGTTGATGGTAACAAGCTTAAATAAATAAGCAAGTATATACAGTAGTAAAAATTTAGCATATCGGAGAACGGTTTGTGTTACTTAAGATGCTTTCGTTTCACGCGTGTTAAATTTTTAGTACCGGAAACTGTCAACTTTGTCCTGAATATGTTAAGATTTCTACTAATCGCTCAAGTATTACACATGTCCGATTAAATATGAAAATAATATTGTTCATTTACATACCATTTATTTTAATAATATTTCCATTTATTCTACGAAGTATATCTTAAAATGAGGAACGACTCAATTATTGTTTAGTATGTTTTAGCTTCTTAAAGATGGCAGAGCAGTAAATCAGAAATATAGATTTACCTGTACTATAAATGAATTCTGACGAACTTAATGTTACACAGTTTACATCTGAGCACATGATTCTCTTGATAAAATTTAATAAAACAATATAGAAAGTTAGTAGTGTTTTGACGTGTATATTATTTTTTTGTCCTTTCCTTGCAGTTACTGGAAGTGAATAAATAATAAAGCAGTTAATAATATTATTATCATAAATTTTCTTCACTAATTATGGATTGTACAAGAAGAATAGTATGGTAGTTAGTCCATCAATGAAAAATCAGTTCCATCCGTGATTCAATCAAACGGTTAGATTTATAAATCAAGGTGATAGGTCTGGAATTCAATAACCTACGGTATTCTACTTCGTGTCCCAACTTTACTAACATTGTATTTCAGTTTTTATACCCATTACAGTGTTCTAATACTGAAATACTCTAATGAGCAGAATTGCTGGCGGCTAGCAGGGGTGTCCAAGACACTCGTCAGCTGTATGTGCCTGAATCCCAGTGTTGATGTTCACCTCTGTACCCCGAACCAGTACTATAGACTTCAAAAGACACCGCGTTATCCTTTTAGCTACTAAGTTCACATAGCCACTGGCTTGTACAACAGGGTGAATTTCAATTCGTTTGTATTGGTTGTTTAAATCTTCGCATTGATATATAGGGCTGCAATTAATCAGTCTGTTTTGGCTACACACATCTTGAACATTATACGATAACGGTTCAGTATAATTTTTCTCACTCCATTAATTTTTAGTAATATTTACATTACACAGAATTTACTTGGCAAATTACTCATAACAGTAAATTATTTTTATTCTTAATGAGTTTTTTGTCTAGTTTACACTCAGCTGTAATTGTAAAACACGCGACTACAGTTAAACTTCCTCATTGTTAATATAAATGTATGACAAAAATCAGCGATTAACTCGTCAATTACCTTGATTTAATAATAATTTAGTGTATTTACCAGGTATCAGCTATTGATTAGTAGTAATAACAATAATATTAATGTGTTATTTATCAAATCTGACTGGATTTAATTATCAAAATTGATAAACATCAAAGTAATCCAATCTATACACTATTGATGTGATTTATTCTTTCTTATTACCTTTACACATACATGAACCGAAGACTAGTGATATGTTGCTATGCTGTAGAAATGAACTGTTTATCCTCAGCCTGTAAATTATAGTTGTTTATTTTATTTTAAAAGAATGGTATTTAATGAAAAATATAAATTAATTAATTCTAATATTTGGTACAACTAACTAGTCTGTACATTAGTGACAAGTGAAATATGTCAATATGTATATCAATGAAATCATTTGTTTAAGTTTACTTATAATCAATAGTTGGAGTTATCATTGAACTTATGTATCTCTATTTGGTGTTCAGGTCATAATCGTCTATGTGTGAAGATATCTACTATGATAATCGAATCACTACACAGTTTAGATCTTAATAAACCATAAGAATTTTTTTAATTACTTTTTCGAACAATTCTGAAAATGATATTGTATCACATAAAGTCCTACGTTTAGAAAAATTGTTTCGACGGTGAATAGTAATAAACATGAAAGTTCAGTTTAAGAACCTTTCTGCAAAATAGGTTTAAAAATCTAATATAAAAAAAAAGAAGTACAGGTTTTGTGGTTACTATGGTATCTGAGTCAGACGGGTCACGATAATGTACTTGTCTGCTTAGTTGGGGGCTAGTTTCTTTGCTACTCTGCGTTCTTCAGTGCTTACTGTGGTAAATTTACTGAACTCTGGCCAGGATAGACGATGGGCGGTCCAAAATGCTAGTTTCGTGCAGCTGCCAATCACCGAGGTCTTGCATCAACTCCCCTAATTCCATCGTCTGAAGATGACACTTCCTCAGTGGGAAAGCTCTATGACTGTTCTATCAAACAACCGATCATCCCAGCACAGAGTCAGTGGACGAGAACAATAGCTTTATGTGGGTTTTGATTGGCGGACAAGTGCCTCTGAGCGGTTCCTATTTGTAATATCATGCTTTTGGCTGTAACGGCAAGATGTTGTTGAGTTCGAGTGAACACTTATGAAAGTATGGGCCTATTATGTCCTGGAGTCGTAAGATTGGATAGTGACATCCATGAATCAGTTAGATGGTTCTATATCACTATTGATTATCTAAACCTTAAAATCGTAGGTAACACAATTATGGATAAAGATGAAGGTTTATAAAGCACCTCACTTTCACGATTATTTCAGTATAGAGTACTAACATTGAAATTGTGTAAACAAGATATCACCGACTACTGTAAGTTCCCCTATGAAGTGAAAATCTACAATTGAAGGCCTTTACCACTTCTGTTTGGAATCGATTAGATTGACGAAGGTTGAAAAAAAAATAAGGAATATTTCATCACTTTGATAGTACATATTTTTATTTTTCGTATTTCCATATTATCTAATTACCTCAAAATATGTTTTTATTTCATAAAAATTATGAAGCGATCCAAGTTAAACCTTTTTGTTTCAATTTCTTCCCAGGTTTAACTAGGAGAAACCTTACACTACTGGCCAAACAATATCATTATCGGACTATCACATCCCACCCTATATTTTAAAACAGATAACCAAATGTTAATGTACAGATCGGGGTAGCCATTATTTGCCGTTATATAGCTTCGACTGATACTACCTATTTATAGTTAACTATTGGCTAGTCGTCAATAAACGTAAATGGTTTATTTTGTGACCCTAACATTTGAAAAGCTTCTTGTTTATAGAGAATTTTAACAAAAGAAAATTGTTCTCCACGTATCAGTTTTTTTAGGGTCATGTAGTATGATCACCTATTTATGACAAATAGGTAGAAATAAACACTGTAATCCTATTGGTTAAAAAGAACCCAACATATTTCAGCTGTTTGGCTCTTACTCGTCTCTTGTTGATTTTGACTAACGAACAAGATAGTCAGATAGATAGGTTTATAGATAAAATTATTCACCCACCTTAATAAAATAGGAGGGAAGTGTGGTGGTGTTTTCAAAAAATTGCTCTCTCATAACACATACAAATAAATGCGAATATAATTATACATTCAGTCGTGTGTGTACAATTGTTTATGTGGTTTTATACATACATACACACGTTAATGCAACAAGTTAACCAGTTTAAAACAATCACAGTTTAGAATGAATTTATTAATTAATTCAGAAGAACTGAATTAACTCATCGGTGGACATTTATCCAATAATATAATATTTCACTGGGTTATTAAATGTTGCCGTTTACATGATAATTTCCTTAATTAATTAATTATGAAATTATGATTTACATGTAAACATTTTAAAGTCAATTGCATAATGTACAATAATTTACTACTGTATTACATAGTAGTAGTATTATCGATAACATTCTATGATGGCACATTTATTTATACATTACAACATGCGACAACCAACGCGAACAAAGCAGTTCTTTTGAGAAGCAGAGTAATTCAGACAAACCAAGCTTTCAAGGTTGATGAACATTCATTGAACAAAATGCAGGATGATGAAGGAGATTTAAAGCTTTCTAAGGAATTCCCAGTACTTGACACACTGATATCTTCGGAAGGAGATAAAGATCCATCAGATAGCATAAATCCAAAATTAGAAGGCCCATCTTCAAGAACTAACATTTATCACAATAATAATAATAATAACAGAAAGAATAAAATAAGTGGACAGCGTTTACCAAAAGATTCCAGTCTACTTGATTCATATTGGCCTAATTCTAATGTTGGAAACATATTTGACATAGGGTGGGATCCGAATCCACCTAAAGAAAGTAAGTAGTTTACAAAGTAATAGTCATGTGTAATTCATAAATGCTTATTTCATAGGATAAACAAGTGAATCTTAATTACTTCAATAACACATTTTTTTTATTCAGTTGGTTTGTTTACTTACTAGAAAATTGAGTGAACATACCCAACTTTTAGTAATGCTTCATTATAAGAAACACAATATATTCAATGAATTTGCTGTTAATATTGGTAATGGCTGTTTGTTTCACTCATTTTGCGAATTTTTCTACTACATTTACAAGTTATGATACATTGGCTTCTAGTTACCAGGGTTTGTTACGTTTAGCTCATTAATGTGCTGACCGGAATGCGAAATCTTATGAATGTGTCCAGTTTCAGCTAATCATAGCTGCGGTACATGACCGTAAAAGATAATCTCGAAAGGAACTGAATCAGAACTTTATCTGCGTGTTTACATTTTTTCCCTACTAGCATGTTAACAATTAGTAGGAAAACGTTTTAGTATGGTTATATTAAAATGTGTCACAGTTAATAGCAAGTTACTATGATACCTAACTTCACTCGTTTAGAATTGCGGTCTATTTGACAATGTAGTTAAAAGGCCAGTGGTGATTAAATCTATGGTACAACAATATGGCTAACTGTTTCCAGTAGTTACCTAACTTATGTGAATTCCCCATCAAGTTGGTCTACAAAATTAAAAAAGCATCTCACAGTCTAGAAAATTGAGTTTTCTCATTAATCAGATGCAAATAAAAGTTCTTGAAAAATTACAATTTTCATGTATATTTTCTAGGCTATAAATCAATAATTAAGCGATCATGATAGGCAACCGTAACAATAAACTAGATATAATTGATGTTTGACGTCAAAACATTTGATGAAATATTCTTTATTTTATGACAAGTTTGGTTTTAGGGGGTAGCTAGATTCCATTATTGTTTTGTTTCACAACTTAACATCGTCATCACTGTGATCGTTTGTGCAAATACGTTTAATCCTATCAAATAGGCACCTTATCAAGCTTCGTTTGTATTGCATTGGACAGTAACTATACTAGCTAAGGTATTGGGCTGTCCAAGTTAGTTTTCTAAAAATGGA